TATGAGGATGATTCTGATGATGACGATGATGATGACGATGATGATGGTGATGATGGTGATTATGGTGATGATGGTGATGATGGTGATGATGGTGATGAGGACGATGATGATGCTGAGAATGATGATGAGGATGATAACGTCGATTGTGAGATCGATTGTGATATCGATAGTAAGATCAGCAGTGAGAGATGATGATCATCATGATGATGAGGATGATGATGAGGATGATGATGAGGATGAGGATGATGGTTGTGATGATGGTGATGAGGATGAGGATGATGATGAGGATGATGATGAGGATGCTGATGAGGATGATGATGGGCATGATGATGCTGATGGTGATGATGGTGATGATGATGCTGGTGGTGATGATGGTGATGATGATGGTGATTATGGTGATGATGATGATGACGTCGATTGTGAGATCGATTGTGATATGGATAGTGGGATCGATCGTGAGACCAAATGTAAGATCGATTGTGAGATCGATCGTCAGATCAATTGTGAGATCGGTAGTCAGATGGATTGTGAGATCGATCGAATGAGATCGATAGCGATATCGATCGTGAGATCGATAGTGCGCCCGAATGTGAGATCGGTTGTGAGATCGATTCTGATATCGATAGTGAGATCGATAGTGAGACCGAATGCGAGATCGATTCTGAGATCGATAATGAGATCGATTGTGACATCGATAGTCAGATGAATGTGAGATCGATTGAATGAGATCGATAATGAGATCGATAGTCAGATCGATAGTGAGATCGATCGAGTGCGACGTTGGTTCCTCCCTCCCTCACCTCCTTATCACCCGAAGGGTGGTCGTATAGGTTACAGGTGTACATATATATATATATATATATATATATATATATTCCTTTCCTTGATATTTCTCTAATTGTTTATTCAATTCTTATATATACATGTCTGAGGTTGAAGGGGCGATCGAAGTGAAACGGAGGCCCCCCACCAGGAAATCGGTTTCGGTTTCGCGTCTCGAGGAATCCCCTGCGAGTTAACAAAAGCATCATGGCCGCCTGCCGATGCCTCGCCCATATTTTGGATCGAAGTGCAGCGCGGCACATCGCCAGACTGGGCAGGCCAAACAGCATGCCGCGCTGAGCGGCCCCAATGCGAAGGTCCAGGTCCGCGACTCACATGCACATGGAGGAAGAGAGCCAATCATGACGGAGGAGGGCGGAGGAAGAAGGAGAAGTACGGCAAGGAGGTTTGATTTGGGTAGCCCCTGATCAGGGAAGAGTCACCCTGCCTCCAGAGGCTCGGCGAAACCCTCGGCGATCCCTCCTCCATCCCAGTCCTCTTCCGCCTCGGCACTGCCGTCTCGTTCCCCCCTCCGTCCTCCTCCTCCTCCTCCTCCTCCTCCTTCTCCTTCTTCTCCTCTCCTTCACCCCCCCCGTACCTCCCGCGCGTTCCCCTCTTCAGCTCCGCCCCCCTTCGTCGTCCTCGTTGTCGTCGTCGTCGTCGTCGTCGTCGTCGTTGTTGTCGTGGTCGTGGTCGCGGTCGGCGTCATGGTCGTGGTCGTGGTTGTGGTCGCCGCCGTTGTCGCCATCGGCGTGGTCGCGGCGGTGGCCGTTTTGTCGTCTTCGTGGTAGTCGTGGTGCAGGTTGTGGTGGTGGTCGTCGAGGTCATGGTCGTGGTCGTGGTCGTGGTCGTCGACCGGGATGGAGCCGCGGAGGCCGCCTTGGCGGCGCCGTCCGCCTCCGTCGCCTCCGGCCGCGGGGGGTCCCAGCAGCAGCAGAACATGGCGGCGCGCCGCGGGGGCCGGCGTGACCTCGGGTGGAGGGGGGGGGGCGGAGGGAGGCTGAAGGAGGAGGAGGAGGAGGAGGAGGAGGAGGAGAATGAGAAGGAGGAGAAGGAGGAGGAGGGGGACAGGGAAGGAGAGGCGGAGGGAGGGAGGAAGGAGAGGGGAGGGGGGGGGGCCGGGGGAGGTGGGGGGTGGGGGGTGGGGGAGGGGGGAGAGAGGCTGATGAGGATGCAGGAGGAGAAAGAGGGGGTGCAGGAGGAGGAGAAGGCTGGGGGAAGAGGGAGGATGGACGCGTGAACGGCGGATGACGAGGAGGGAGAGGACGGGGAGGCGGAGGAGGAAAGGGAGGAGGAGGAGGAGGAGGAGGAAGAAGACGAAGAGGATATGGAATCGACGGAGAGGAATCTTCGGGCGGGCCTTTTCGTCCTCCTCGTCGTCGTCCTCGTCCTCGCTCTCCTCATCGTCCCTCTTGCCTCTTCCTCCGCGCTCTCCCCACTTTCTCCGTCCGGAAGAACACGCGCTGCCACGAGACCTCCGCAAGCTCACTCTGGAGCGGAGGAGCCGATTGTGCGCTTAGGCAGGTGGACAAAGCGTTTTGTCCGTGTTGTGTTCCCTAGCAAACTCCGCCAGCTCCACTCACCGCCAGTGGGTCGACCTGCGCACAACTAGATGTGCATCAACCAGGTTGTGCAGACAAGGTCTCGGCCAAAAAGGCACTGTAGAGGGCTCCTTTGC